AGATGTAGATAATCTTACCTTTAATTAGACCATTAAAATACATACAATGAGATCATTAAAACACACACACACAGTGGATCACTGTGTTCTGGGGATTGTTGAGACTCGATTACTAATATCGTGGTGTGTGTGTGTGTGTGTGTGTGTGTGTGTGTGTGTGTGTGTGTTTAAAGGCCATGAACAGATTAAATTAATCAAGATGCAACAATAATGCAATAAAATTGCATTATTTAATGTAGTTATTGTGATTAATTTGATATATTTGCTCGAATTTGAATAAAGAACGAAAGAAATAGAAGGTTCATAAGGTACTGTAGATGTCTTAGTTTGGTCATCTAATCTGTGCTTAGATTTTGAATAGTGGGCTTTAGATTGTGTGCTGTATTTCAGATTTCAGTGTGGGGGGGGTTATGCTTATCATAGCTGTTCAAAAATTACTTGTATCTCCTTTTTTTCTGATTTCTATTTTTTATTTCTCTTGTATTGTGTGGAAAATCCATGATAAATGAACTAATAGAAATACTCTAAAATTACTTGGAATAAAATCTCTTTACATTATCTTACATTTAATATTAAAAACATTTTTGCCTCTCCTGTAACTTTCAGAGATGTTTTTTTTTTTGGACAGTGACGATATGAGCCTGCTGCTGTTCTGTTAAACGTGCTTCCAGTGTTGGCCCGTGTGTTTGCTGCTCTTATGTGTGATAAATTCACTCAGATTCTACATTAGCACGTAGGCTACTGGCCCTTACTGTATAAGGATGTATTAAAATGCAAAGCGCTTTGCAGAAGTATCATCTTTGCTTCTTTGCCGTTCCGCAAAAACATGAATATATGCTGTGTTGTACAGAAACTGCGTGATGTATCATAATCCTGTTTAAAGTAATGATGTTATTATTAGCTGAGTATTGTTCCATACTTTTTAGTACAGATACCAATACCAATAACAGGGCTGATTCCTAAACCACACTTTTTCCAATACCTTCTTTTAAATGACAAACCGACTGTGGGTGTGGCTTAAAGTGGAATTCCACCCAATTGTCAAAATTTCTGCATTGAGATGTAAACAAAGCCATTCCAAGTGTTTTGATATGGATTGTTTTCTTGTAGAGAAACTTACCAACTCAGATGTCTTTACAGTATTTGTATATAAAAGCTGTCAAATGATTAAAATAACTGATCAATTATGTGATTTTAAAGCAGTACGTTTTGTTATGGCTATATGAGTGGACAAAATAAGCTTCATCAGAATGTATTTATTATTTTTATTATATCATTGACATCCTGTAATACCTGCATGTCGGTTAAATGAACATCATATCTACCAGAGGTGATCAAATCCTGGCCTTGAATCCAGTTTCTGGTCCTGGATTTTGTAATGATATGTATAGTTAGTTCATGTATTGATGTAACTGAATGGCCATCAAAATCTAGGAATGGAAAACTAGATTCAAGGTCTGGATTTAAAGACATCTGATATAAACTGTAAATGGGGTTTAAAATTCTTTGAAGTTGTAACCCTTTTGATCAAATACAGATTGTAAATTCTAGTTACTATGGAGGCTTTTGAAGGGAACTGGAGCTCTGTTTTGCTGTTGCTTTTGTTGGTTTGCTGCTTGTTGATTTTTCCATAGATCTCTTTAAGCACTGTCCAGCTTAGTCAGCTAAATTTTTAAGAGCTGTGTTTGAATGAAAAGGCTACAGTTATGGATTCTGTCATGGTTATGTACAGCACACTGCAGCTGGGCTTCAGCCTACACTACAATAGAGAGTTTGAAGAGTCAGACTAGGAAAATGCATTATTTTTAAGTGCTATCAAGTTCATTCTGACTCCTGGTGACCATATAGGTAGTGCTTCTGTTTGGGTCTTTAGGCTTCTGAATGGCTGGTTCATGATTCCTCTGATTGTGCCAATCCATCTTTCCTCTTTTACCTTCAACTGTTCCAAGCATAGGCTATGTTCACATTACCAAGTTGAGGTGGCACAAATCAGATTTTTTGCCCTAATGTGACTCAGATCTGATGTTTAAAGAGTTGCGTGGATGCGCAAATCTGATCTTTTCAAATCCGACCTGAGTCACCTTATATGTGGTCCTAGATCGGATACGTATCCGATTCATGACTATGCGACCTTAATGTGACGCTCAGATCGGAATTCATGTGCTTTTTTCCCACTGCGTGTGCACCATCATTCAGCGTTACCATGGCAGCAGTGCCAAACAGAAGTTAAAGCCTCTAAACAGTGGAAAAGCAACGCATCTCACCTTTTTCTCCTTTGTCTCGCTCTAATAATGAAGCTGAGAGCTGATTAGAGTTAATTATCTTCTCAGCGAAGCTCGTTCTGCTCATTATGTGCTGATGATGCACGTGATTCATTCACGTGACGCTACTGAGTAGGATGGGCGCATGCCGGTTTGTTCACATTAATGACAGATTTGAGTCACTTACCTAAATGAGTGTGAGCCATCGTGTCAGAAAGATCGGATCTGAGCAAAAAATCAGATCTGAGAAATGAGGCTTGTAATGTGAACGTAGCTATAATGGTCTTTTCCAATAAACTGGTTCTTCTGAGAATATGTCCAAAAACACAGTGACAGCTGTAATGTACACCCTGTAGGAAGGCTCTGTTCACCAAAATACCTGAGCCCACATGACCGAGTGGCCATGACCAATGCTATACGTCAAGCACCGAGCACAAGGGCTCCCACGAGACACATTCACTTTATCTGCAGAGAGAGTCAGAGCGATTTTTATATTACACCGTCCAGTGGCCATTTCATTAGCTTCACCTCCATTGCATTATCTCTGCTTCCACAGCATTTGGTCAATATCTGTCCTTCCTCAAAGCTGGCCAGCCTCTGGCTCCTGTCCGGCCTTTGTGTTTGTTTTTCCCTCAAAGAGTATCCTCATGGCTATGGCCAGCGACTGATGGTGAGTCAGTCAATATGCTGCATTGACCACTGGAGCAAAGAGGTGATTTTTACTATTCAGGACGGTCAAAAGGAACCTTCCTTTTTTGTGTCCAGGAAAGCCATTATTCTCCTGCCAGAAGCTCAGTGCTTCAATTGATCCTACTGAAGTTAGTCACTGATCAAAGAGCATGTATTGTGCATTTTTTTCATGCAGAGCACTTGGTATCAGATCTTCACTGTATGATTCAATTATCAGCAGAAAGGGCTGCTGGGACACCGTGGCATATGGTGCACAGTTTGACCAATTTGTAAGCAGAAGGCTTTTCTCTCTCCTGTGCTCTTCTACTTTCCCCATGTTACTGTTAGTGGATGGACAGACTTTATTCTGTACTTTGTTCTTCTTATGTTTCATTTTCTTGTGGTCAAAAAAATAATTATGATGATGATGGTGATGGTGATGGTGATGATGGCAGTTATGATGGTAAAGATGTAAAGATTTGAATGTTTTCAAAGGAACAGAAAAAGTGTTATTCGGAAAAGTGAAGGTAATAATAGTGATGATGATGATGGTAATAATAATGGTAATAATGATCATTTTGATGATGATGAAGGATATTGAGGACAATATTGATGGTGATGAGTATTATGATGATGGTAATAGTAATGATGATGGTGATAACAAAATTGATGGTGATGGTGCTGGTGATGGTGGTGGTTGCCATGGTGATGAACATATGTTATGGTCATGGTGGTGGTGATGGTGATTTGTTCATTTTAGTCTTTCTTTATGTCTCATTTTCTTGTGGTCAAAAAAATAATTATGATGATGGTCATAATGATAATGGTGGTGATGGTGGCAATTTTGATAGTGGTGTAAAGATGTTAAAGTTTTTGAAGGAACAGGAAAAGTGCTCTTCAGAAAGATGATGGTAATAATAGTGATGAAGGTAATGATAATGGTAATAATGATCATTATGATGATGAAGATGATGATTGTAACGATGATGTGATGATGATGAAGGTAATGATAGTGAGGAGAATATTGATTGTGATGAGTATAATGATGAGTGTAATAATGGTAATGATGATGGTGATAACAAGAATGATGTTATTGAAGATTGTGATGGTGGTGGTGGTAATGATGGTGATGATCATGGTGATGATGGTGATGAAGATGGTTATGATGGTGGTAATGGTGGTTTGTTCATTTTAATCTTTCTTTTTGTCTCATTTTCTTGTGGTAAAAAAATAATTATGATGGTGGTCATGATGATGATGGTGATGGTGATGAGTATTATGATGATGACTGGTTTGATGGTAATGATGATGGTGATAACAAGAATGGTGATGGTGGTGGTGGTAATGATGGTGATGATTATGGTGATGGTGGTGTTTATGATGGTAATGAAGATGGTTAGAATGATGGTAATGATAGTGATGATCATGATGATGGTGGTGGTTATGATAGTAATGAAGATGGTTAAGATGATGGTGATGATCATGGTGATGATGTTGATGTTTATGATGGTAAAGAAGATGGTTATGATAGTAATGATAGTGATGATCATGGTGATGGTGGTGTTTATGATGGTAATGAAGATGGTTAGAATGATGGTAATGATGGTGATGATCATGGTGATGGTGGTGGTTATGATAGTAATGAAGATGGTTAAGATGATGGTGATGATGGTGATGATCATGGTGATGATGGTGGTGTTTATGATGGTAATAAAGATGGTTATGATGATGGTAATGATAGTGATGATCATGGTGATGGTGGTGGTTATGATAGTAATGAAGATGGTTAAGATGATGGTGGTGATCATGGTGATGATGTTGATGTTTATGATGGTAAAGCAGATGGTTATGATGGTAATGATAGTGATGATCATGGTGATGGTGGTGGTGATGACAGAGATGGCAGTGATGGTGAATAGAAAAAACAGAACATAGTTTGAAAGAATAGTTAGGATTTGTTCAGGAACTCACAGGTTGGCACCTGTTTGCTTCAGGCTGCTGTCAGTGGTGGAATATTAAGCGATTTTAAGTCATTTTTGGTGGATCTAAGTGCTTGTTTTGTCTCCGCAGATGCCAGGGCAGACCGATCTGAGCGACGGAAGCTCTTTCGGCATTACACCATGGGATCGTACGACAGCTTTGATGCATCAAGGTAAGCTTAAACGTTCTTCTAATCCTCCGGACCATGTTTGAGAGCTTTCTATATGTGTGTGTGGGAGAGAGAGAGAGAGCTTAGCCTCAAAATCCTCAAAGCCTAATTCAGGAGGAATACGTCTTCTTTAGTTAGACACCCCACGGGAGCTGAAAATGAGTTTTTTTTTTATTACTGTCAAAGTGCACTGTTCTCCTGAGTTCGTTTGATGGTATACGCTGGGTATCTAAATGGAGATTTCTTCCAGAACGTGACACTTCTGTGTCACAAAGTGTTGCTGTTTGAAGTTAAAGCATGTCTTGGTCTCAAAACAAGATGTGCTCTCCAGCATTTTCACTTATGAGTGCTTCCCTGGTGTGAGACACTTGCTGTTCCATTATTACTGTTATCTCGTAGTGATTTATTATTACATTAGTGGAGTGTTCATAATGTGTTGATTTTTTTTAATTCCCTGAGGGATTAACCCTCATTACACTCTTCGTTTTGAGGGCTTCTTTTGTTTTGTTTTGTTTTTTTTAAAAAAAAAGTTTGGCTTCTTTAGAGCCACCTAATCCTGGCCTCGAAATTCTCGCTTCGATTATGAAATGTAAATTGTTCCAAAGGGATGATTCTTTTGTCACTTTTGAAATCATTAACACCAAAAGGCTTTTCGGAAAAGGACAGTGCGGAGAGGGTCGTTAAGCGATTATTCATGCTCTGTAGCACATCAAATGTCTTCTCATTAGCCAATTGGCCTTTCTGTACCCTGCGAAGTAGCTTACAGGCACTGGGTTAATTGATCATAACATTGCTGTGCATATACCGCTGCATCGGGGCATTATTCTCTTAATGTCGGATATTGCTTTGAGTTTTTCTCTTTGACTTACCAAGAATCGCCCACACGTTCTGTATGAAAGCCGTATTAGAATTGACAGCTGTAATTTGTCTGAATCACCGACGAGCACGTACAGGCGGTTTACGTCCCGTCTGTCAGCAACACCAACTGCTGGCTGACTGCGTCTGAACACAATAAGTGTGTTTTTCCACTGTACAAAGTGCCTGGACTGTGTTTTTTCCATAACCCCTTGGGTCCAGTACTGAACGGACTAGTTTTACGGTTTTTGATACCTGCTCAATATTGGTACCAACAGGACCTACTGATACTAGAGGTAACTGTAGCTGTGGCAACAGTTGCAGCTGGAGCAATGACAGTTTCAAATTCTTTAATCTTCCTCATATTGATGTGGGATAAACTGGTTTGTCCGGCATACTGGTTGAAATTTTTAAAGTTAAGAGTTATATCATTTATCCCGGTACGCCACAAGTAAGCGTGGATAATGCAGCGTACATACAGTGCAAACCAAGCCAAGGCTATTCCCTTTAGCTGAGTCAGGGATGATTCAGCCACCTCGGTAAAATAAGGTAGTCCACTCTATTCATAAGAGAGTCGTATGGAAAGAACCACCAGTCTATAGGGGTTAGCTTTTACCCTAGCATGGACACTTGCCTGCTTTTGTTTCATCTCACGCCGCCTCCTCAGTCAGCTGCGTCAGACGATGCTGTGGTCTCAGGGCATGGTCCGCACAAGCTCATATTAATAGCATGAATAACTTGTAATATTTACGAAATTCCAGCCGCGTTTAACAGTCAGTGAGAGACACATGGACGTTATAAACAATATTTAACACCGTTTTGCAAGGCCCAGAGAACCTGCGGCATGGTTGCTTGTGTTTGCCACAGGTTCATCTGTGTATTGTTCAGTTCTGTTTTAACAATTTTACACGATAAATATTTTAACCAACCACAATAGGTGTACTTAAGCTTTTCACCAACATTCTGACCACCTCCTTGTTTCTACACTCATTGTCCTTTTTATCAGCTCCACTTACTATATAGGTGCACTTTGTAGTTCTACAGTTACAGACTGTAGTCCATCTGTTTCTCTGCATACTTTGTTAGCCCCCTTTTACCCTGTTCTTCAGTGGTCAGGATCCCCATGGACCCTCACAGAGCAGGTACTATTTGGGTGGTGGATCATTCTCAGCATTGCAGTAACACTGATGTGGTGGTGGTGTGTTAGTGTGTGTTGTGCTGGTCTGAGTGGATCAGACACAGCAGTGCTGCTGGAGTTGTTAAACACCTCAGTGTTGCTGCTGGACTGAGAATAGTCCACCAAGCAAAAATATCCAGCCAACAGCGTCCTGTGGGCAGCGTCCTGTGACCACTGATGAAGGACTAGAGGATGACCAACACAAACTGTGCAGCAGCAGATGAGCTATCGTCTATGGCTTTACATCTACAAGGTGGACTGACAAGGTAGGAGTGTCTAATAGAGTGGACAGTGAGTGGACACAGTGTTTAAAACTCCAGCAGCACTGCTGTGTCTGATCCACTCGTACCAGTACAACACACACTAACACACCACCACCACATCAGTGTTACTGCAGTGCTGAGAATGATCCACCACCCAAATAGTACCTGCTCTGTGAGGGTCCATGGGGGTCCTGACCACTGAAGAACAGGGTAAAAGGGGGCTAACAAAGTATGCAGAGAAACAGATGGACTACAGTCTGTAACTGTAGAACTACAAAGTGCACCTATATAGTAAGTGGAGCTGATAAATGGACAATGAGGGTAGAAACAAGGAGGTGGTCATAATGTTATGTCTGACTGGTGTGTATATATATATGAATAAACTATACTGTGATCTTTACTGTCACTATAAGCCCCCAAGCACTATTTTATGACCAAATGCACCAGAATATAACTAGAACAGTGTGTTCTTGTGTCGATTATTGTTTTTTTAGAATTATTGCTCTGTAAAGAGTTCGCTAAGGTGACATAAGCTAGTTAGGAAGTTATTGCAGTCTTTGACCATGTACTGTGTACATTGATGCTGTAAACCTGCATGCATAAAATCACTGAATGACTGTTGTTAATCATGGTTATTTTGAAGGTTCCAGCTATCTCTCAAACAGGAGATTAATGAACTAGAACTAGAACTGTAAATTGCATTTGTTCCCATGTTGGCACAGTTGAAAAACACCATAACATATGCCTCTTTAAACTACAACAGGAATATAAGAGAGATCTGTGTTTGAGATAATACATAAAATGAAAAAGACTTCACTGATTACATTTCCAAAAAGGATTATTGCTTTATATTTGACTCTTATCCCTCAAAATGTTGCATATGTTTGTTTTCAGTCATAAGCAAAGCATTCAGATCTGTCCACTGTACCAGCCATTTCTGTTCCAAGTCGCCAGGATTACCGAAAACTCATCACCATCTCCCATCACATCAATTTCCCAAATTACTTTCTTGGTTCCGTTTCACACCACAGACATTGCAAAACAACTGTTTACTTATTAATATTTTGCTGGAAAAGGTTTTACGGGGAGTGCGAAAGCGCTCATTGTCAGATGGCTGGTTATGTAAGCGGCCCTAATGCTGGAGCTGCGGGTCACTATTGCTCAACACTGACATGAGGAAGGCGTCAAAAAAATCAGAGCTGTGATGTAATCCAAGGTCACGTTTTGTTCAAACGCTTTTTTTCTTTATGTACAAAACGTCCGAGTGCACGAGAGGTGGTGCTCTGAGAATGTGCGTTAGGTTGGCTCGAGATACTGATCTGCAGCGTGTAGTATTTGATCCAGAGCTTTATTTACCTTTTAAAAGGACTACACAGTCAACTGAATGTGAATTACTGGACAGCTGACAACAGCAAATCTGTTTCAAAGCCTTGATTATTGAACTGCTGTTCCATTTTAAGGGTTTTATTATAATTATGGTCCATGTTGTGTCCGTTTGGTGTTGGATACCTTTGTGGGGGGAAAAAAAAACGCAAAAAGAAATATTCCATAAGCAAGCAGCTGAACTCCTACTCAGCAGACACACCCCTCGCTCAGAGCACGTTGTCATGGAGACACACAGAGCGAATCCATGGCGATGCGTTTGCAGTCTACTTCCTGTCGTAGGCCTCCTGACTTACAGGAAAGGAGCTCTTTCTAGGGAAAATTTAGACCATTTTAAGCCTTTAATGCTTGTTAGCAACCAGAGTGCAACATCAATTTGACATTATGAAACTGCCCTACTTTCAGTTTGTGAATCAGCTCTTAACTCCACTGATATATTAAATGTGTTCTGTTTGATAGAGAGTAATAAAGCAATAAATAGTGGACCTCAGAGCAGCCTTGTGCAGATATATAGGCTACGTTCACATTACCAGGTGGCGCATCTGATTTTGTGCCTTAATATGACCCACATCTTTTCAAAGCTTTCCAAATCTGATCCACTTCATTTAGATCTGAGCCACTTTCATATGCGCCGAGATCAGATACAAATCCATTTCACGGCTGAGCATCCTGATGAGAGCAGCCAGGGTTGAATTCATGTCTCTGCTGCACGTGCACCATCGTTCAGCCTAACTTGAGTGAGTGCATGTAAAGGCTGCAGAAGCTCTGAAGATCTGACCTTTTCTCTCTTAAGTTTTGCTCTAATAATGCACATCTGAGAGCTGTTCATAGCAAGTTGTCTCCACAGTGAAGACTTGCTCTCCCAGTTAGTTTATTTGATGTGGTATGAGAAACATGTTTCATTCACATGGCGTTATTGAGTTGGCACAGGTGTGTTCACACTGAATTCGGGTCAGCCATATGAATGAGAAGCATCAAGTAAGAAAGGTCAGACCTGGAGAAAAAAATCAGAATTGAGCAGTAAGGCTTGTGATGTGAACATAGTCTTTTACTGCCCTGTTGTGGCTCCACAGCAGGATTAGATTTGTAGGTAAAAATAAAATAATCCTTTGCAGTAAATAAAGCTCTGCTGGTCGTTCAACACAGTTTAACAATAAATGGTCTTAAACACTGGAGTTAACGTAGAACTGCTAATTCACCCTTAAACCCTGAAGGTTGGTGCGCAGACTGCTGGTCACATAGCAACACAGACAGTAATCTCACCTAGCTAGTAGCTAACGAAAAGGTAAAGAGAGAGATTTAAGACAAACATCCTGATACATGAA